CATGCGCCTTGGCTCCCACAACCCACTTTTTAACAAAACCCATCAGCTTATGAGCACATTCCACAAAAGTACAATCCTGATCCCCAAGGACCAAGCCCCAGACCCAGGTCAATATACAAATCAGGTCTTACCCACAAATCACGCTGTTGCCAATCCTTCAGAATCTAAAATCTAAAGGTTTATTCATAAAAGGAAAAAGATAGAGATGAGAGTTAGAATTGGTTAAATGGAATCAATGACATACAGTAATGGCAAAGTTCTTGGTTCAGGCTTGCAGCAGCGATAGAATAAACTGCAGGTTCAAATCAAGTCTCTGGAATACATCCCCCGCTGGGATGGGTCCTCGGTCCTTTGTTCAGAGCTTCAGTTTGTAGCAAAGTCCCTCCAGAGGTAAGAAGCAGGATTGAAGACCAGATGGAGATGAGGCATCAGCCTTATATAGTCTTTTCCAGGTATAAGAACACCTCTTTGTTCTTACTGTGGAAAATTACAGCAACATGGAGTCTGGAGTCACATGGGCCAGTCCCTGCATACTTTGCTGAGTTACAAGGCGTATCTGCCTTCTCTCAATGGGTCCATTGTATAGCTGATGGTCCTTAATGGGCCATTAAGCAGGCTAGGCAGAGCTAATCTCAGCTTGTCTGGGATGTCACCCAGAAGCATAGCAGAAGTTTGCCATACAGACAGTATAGAGCCAATATTCATAACTTCAACTACAAAACTGATACACACATATAGACAGCATAATCATAACCAGTAAACCATAACCTTGTCTTAGACACCCCATTTGACCCCCTTTATACACGATTTGGGTGCCACTACGGGACCTTGGTTGCAACAATGATCTATATGGTCCCAGTTTATGTCAATAACGTCACAGGCTCCCAGCCCCCCTGCTCTAACCCACCATCCCCCACTCCCGTTCCCGAGCCAGGGAGAGAACCCAGGAGTCCTGGCTCCCAGCCCCCCCCTGCTCTAACGCACCAGCCCCCACTCCCCTCCCAGAGCCAGGGAGAGAACCCAGGAGTCCTGGCTCTAAGCTCCCCTGCTCTAACTACTACATTCCCTCCATCAGCCGAGGTGAGAACCCAGGTGTCCTGTGGTTCCTTCAAAGACAGTAACTCCGCTCAATGTGCCCGACATTTCGCCCTCTTACACGAGGCTCCGGGGTCGGGGCTCCGGTGTCCCCTGGCAAACACATGCGGGAAATAGTTGGAAAAGACGGTTTTCAGTGAACTTCTGGCAAGCGACCGAGACGCTGTATCTGGACAGGGTCTGGTCCGGCGTTGATTTTCTCCACACCCCGACATGCGGCGTTCTCAGACCCCAAAGCGGAGCTCATGTCACTGCTTCCCTCCCAGCCGAGTGTGGAAGAAATCAGTGGGAACACAACCCCTCCGGCTGGGGAGAGATTGATCCAAGTGACCGTGCTCTTGTCTGAACCCACAATGGATGAGATTCAAGCAATGGGGCCAGAAAGTCCAAAATCCTTACCTCGAGTCTGAGACGGTATCGAGTAATAAGCGGCCGATCCGCGACTCCTGGTCTGTTCCCCGCCAGGGCGTCTGGGGTCAGGAAAAAGTCCCCACACAATATAGTTGCAATTCACTTGATCGAAACGGGGGCGGCGCACACACCCCTCGAGTCCGGGACCACGGCCGCTGGCTCCCTTCAGCGACTGGACATTAGAGACATCCTGCGGGCAGATGTGGTCGTCCCATCTCCAAAAAGCTCTACTAGAATTGGGAACGGCTCAGAAACTGTTTCAGGGTGTGTAACGGCTGCCGTATAGGCAGAGATTATTACATTGGGACTTTTCAGCTTGCAAAAGAGATGATGACGGGGGGATATGATTGAGGTCTATAAAATCATGATGGATGTGGAGAAAGTAGATAAGGAAGTGTTGTTTACTCCTTCTCATAACACAAGAACTAGGGGGTCACCCAATGAAATTAATAGGCAGCAGGTTTAAAACAAACAAAAGGAAGTATTTCTTCTCCCAACACACTGTCAACCTGGGGAACTCCTTGCCACTGGATGTTGTGAAGGCCAAGACTAGAACAAGATTCAAAAAAGAACTAGATAAATTCACAAGAGGATAGGTCCACCAACGGCAGGCAAGGATTGTGTCCCTAGCCTCTGTTTGCCAGGAGCTGGGAATGGGCGACAGGGGATGGATCACTTGATGATTCCCTGTTCTGTTCATTCCCTCTGGGGCACCTGGCATTGGCCACTGTCAGCAGAGAGGACACTGGGATAGATGGGCCCTTGGTCTGACCCAGTACGGCCATTGTTATGTACGATGACACGGCCCACGCTTTGTTTTTTGATCATCTGCGGGGATCTCCTCGGCCTGGCTGAGTTTCCAAGTTCAGAGCCGGCCTGGAGGGGGTGCAGGCTCTGGGCTGGTGCAGGAGGAGGGGGTGTGGGGGACAGGCTGTGGGAGGGAGTTGGGGTGCAGGGTCTGGGCTGGGGCAGGAGGAGGGGGTGTGGGGGACAGGCTGTGGGAGGGAGTTGGGGTGCAGGGTCTGGGCTGGGGCAGGAGGAGGGGGTGTGGGGGACAGGCTGTGGGAGGGAGTTGGGGTGCAGGGTCTGGG